TAAATCTTCCACAATTTCATGAGGAACATCTTGGTAATATATTTAATGGCACATGAACAATTTAAAAATGCCATAATAGGTGAGGGTATGAAAATTAGGCTGTAACAAAGTAGATGTACCTCTTTAAAGGAAGCTCTACAGTTGATGATGGAACTGGAATCCATTAAAGATGTAGATAATCTAATAAAGGTAACATCAGAATGTTATGGAATTGTAAGACTGAGATTGAATAGTATTGTGACATCAATTCCTTCTGACAAAAATCTAGAAAAAATTAAAAGAAGTAGACAATTAGCTACACAGAATGGAAGCAATAGACCCAAAAAATAGGTGCTTCAAGTGTAGCTTGAAAAAGCATATTGCAATGAACTATAATTAAATCTTGCATGGAATGATAGTCGCTTCTACAAGGCTGTGCTTAGCTCCACAAGTTTGGAATGATAGTTGCTTTTACAAGGCTGTGTTTAGCTCCATAACTTTGGAATGGCAGTGGCTTCTACAAAGCTGTGTTTAGCTTCACAACTTTGGAATGATGGTCGCTTCTACAAGGCTGTGTTTAGCTCCATAACTTTGGAATGGCAGTGGCTTCTACAAAACTGTGTTTAGCTTCACAACTTTGGAATGATGGTCGCTTCTACAAAGCTGTGTTTAGCTCCACAACTTTAGAATGATAGTCGCTTCTACAAAGCTGTGTTTAGCTCCACAACTTCAGAATGATAGTCTCTTCTACAAAGCTGTGTTTAGCTTCACAACTTTGGAATGATAGTCGCTTCTACAAAGCTGTGTTTAGCTCCACAACTGCGGAATGATAGTCGCTTCTACAAAGCTGTGTTTAGCTCCACAACTTTAGAATGATAGTCGCTTCTACAAAGTTGTGTTTAGCTCCACAACTTCAGAATGATAGTCTCTTCTACAAAGCTGTGTTTAGCTTCACAACTTTGGAATGATGGTCACTTCTACAAAGCTGTGTTTAGCTCCACAACTTTCTCTCCCTCTGGAATGTGACTTCTGGCAGAACTGAAGATGTTTGCATTAGGGTTTAGCTGCGGGGTCTGCAAGAGGCTCCCTGTTGTCTGGGGCAGATTAGGTCCATGGTT